TAAAAACAGCATACTACAGGGACACAGCTTCATCAATGGTTATAGTAGCACAATTCACAATAGCTAAACTGTGGAACCAACCTAGATGCCCTTCAGTAGATGAGTGGATAAAGAACATGTAGTGTATATATACAATGGAATATTATTCAGCACTGAAAGAGAATAAAATCATGGCATTTGAGGCAAATGGATGGAGTTGGAAAATATAATGCTAAGTGAAGTTAGCCAATTCCAAAAAACAAAATGCTGAATGTTTTCTCTGATATAAGGATGCTGATTTATAATAGGAAGGTTGGGGGAGCACAGGAGGATTAGACAAACTCTAGATAGAGCAAAGGGGTGAGAGGGGAAGGGAGGGGGCATGGGGGTAGAATAGATGGTGGAATGAGGTTGAAATCATTACCCTAAGTACATGTATGAAGACACAAATGCTGTGTTTATACTTTGTATACAACCAGAGATATGAAAAATTGTGCTCTATATGTGTAATATGAATTGTAATGCATTCTGCTGTCATATATAACAAATTAAAATAAAAAAATACGGCTGCTCCTGTTCTATGTTAGTTAACATTCATATGGAATATCATCCACATCCTCTCCCTTTTATCTTAACTGTGCCTTTATTAAAAATTAGTGTATATTATTTATATAGAATGGTAGGTTTCATTGTGGCATATTTGTATATAAATAAAATATGATTTGATAATATGTGTCCTTAAATGTAAGGATATCTCTTTAAATATTATTAACTGGATTTTACTTTTAAATTCATTTATCCACTCTGCATCTTTTCACTGGACATATTACTCCATTTAAAGTAATTATAAGTAAAATAGGGAAAAAGTTATTGTTGCCATTTTTTTGGTCTGTTTCATAGTTTGTGTTTCTTGCTGGTTTGTGTATTTTATTGATTTTTTTTCCGTAGGGATATGCTTTTGACGATTCCTTTCTTATTTTATTTTGTATGTTCCATAGGTATTCTCTTTGTGGTTACCATGGGCTTACCTAAAACATTTCAGTTATAATAATATATTTTAAGGTGATAACAACTTAATGTCAGTTATATACAACAAATTCTACAATTTTATTCCCTCCCAGTACTTTGTTACCAATGTCACAAATCATATCATTCTATACTGTGTTCATTAAAATATTTTTGTATTGCTGTTTAGTGTCATTTCACTTCAACTTGAAGGACTCTTTGGAAGGCAGGGCTAGTGGTGACAAACTACCTTAAATTTTTTAATTTGGGAAAGTCTTTATCTCTTCTCCTTTTTCTTTTTTTTTTTCATTTTTGAAGGACAGTCTGGCAGATATACTATTCTTTTTTTAAAAAATATTTTTATTAGTTATTGATGGACCTTTATTTATTTGTTTATATGTGGTGCTGAGAATTGAACCCAGTGCCTCACATGTGCTAGGTAAGTACTCTACCACTGAGCCACAAGCCCAGCCCCAGATATACTATTCTTTATTGGGAGTTTTTTTTTTTTTTGCCCCCTATCCCAGCACTTGGCATGTATCATCCTATTCTCTCTATTCTCCAAGGTTTCTGCTGAGAAATCTGATAGTTTAAAAAAAAATTCCCTGTACATGATGATTTGTTTTCTCTTGCTGCTTTGAAAATTCTTTTATTTCAGATAATTTAATCACATTGTGTCTAATGTAAACTTTTATCTATCTATCTATCTACTACATACCTACCTACCTATTTATTTTTTTTTATGTAGTGCTAAGGATCGAACCCAGGGCCTCCCACGTGCTAGGTGAGTGCTTTACCCCTGAGCCACAATCCCAGCCCCTTAGTGTAAACTTTTTTGATCCTTCTTATTTGGATCCATCATGTTTTTAAAATCAATTTATTACTCTGGATTTGGGAAGAATTTTTACCCACTAATTTACTGAAATAACTTTTTGCTTTTTTCTCTTCTCTTTCATGAACTCTCATGATAATGTATATTGGTCAGGTTAATGGTGTCCCATAATTTACTCTTTAATTTAATTTGCTTTATTTTACTCTTTTTTTTCTGTTTGCTTCTCTGGATAATTTCAAATGACATGTCTTCATGTTTACTAAATCTTTCCTTAGTTTGATCAAGACTGCTTTTGAACCTCCTTTTCAGCTCAGTTCTTATAGTTAGCTTTGCCTTTCTGTGACAAAATACCTGAAAACATCAGCTTATGATTCTAGAGTTTTCTTTGCATGGTGAGCTAGTATCCATTCTTTCAGGGCCTATGGTGAGGCAATCCATTATGGCAGAAGGGTATGGCAAAGCAAAACTTTATACCTTATGGCAACTGGGAAGGAAAGGGGGTGAAGGAGAGAAGAGAAGAGAAGAATGGGAAAAGAGACCAGGGATAGTATATGCCCTTCCAGGGAATATACCTAGTCCCACCTCCAATAGTTTCCATCACCTCTCAATAATTCTATCGAATTATTAATCCACCAGTGGATTAATCCAACAAAGAGATCAGTGTCCTCATTATTTAATCACTTCCAAAGAGTCCCAACTCTAAATACAGCTGCATGGGAGACCAAGCCTTTAATACATGAGCCTTTGGGGTATGTTCTAGATGCAAATCATATGAGCTCTTGTATTATTCAGGTCCAAATTTGTTCGATTCTTTTTTACATTTTTTTTGTTTCTTTGTCGAAATTCTCATTTTATTCAGGCATTTTCCCCCCTAAGCTTATCATGTTTATGATGGTTATTCTGGATTTTTTCTTTGGTCAGGTAATTCATTCTTATACTTCACTTTTTTAGAGTTTGTGGAAATTTATTTTGTTCCTTTGATTGGGCCATTCTCCCCTGTTTCTTCATGTTCCTTGTAACTTTGCATTGGTATCAACACATTTGAAAAAAATAGCTATCTCTCCAAATCTTTTGCAGACTTTTGCACAGGAAGAAAATTTTAGCAATCAGTCCAGTAAGTGATTCTGGGTGGGGGGCTCTCTTTTCTGTGGATATGTCTTCTTTAGACTTGTGTGATTAGATTCATACAGGATTTGCTGGTTTCTTTTTGTTCAGGAGCTTACAATCTCTTGCTCCCTCTGGTGTCTCTCTGCTGTACCACAAGTTCTCTAAACAGCAGGACACTATGTATTTCTTTTTTTGTTTTCAGTAGCCTCTAGGGATCTAGAGCATGTTGGGTGCCATCAAGGTCCTGCCTTGAGTTAGGTGAGAAAAAAGCAGTCTTAGTGCAGCCACATGAAAAGCTATAATGTTGGATACATGTTTTGTGCTTCTCTTTTCCCCTGAGGAAGAGGTCATCAAGCTGTACTGGCCCATGTCTGTTATACCACAAGTCCTCTGGAGCAGTAGCACATCACCCAGTTCCTTTGCTTTCAGTGGCTCCAGGCACTGAGAATATGCCAGGTCCTATCAATGCTCTGAGCGAAGTGACACAGAATCTAGTCCTTGGCCATTTCCCCTGCAAACTCAGAACACAGGTATATGGTCCAGTCTTCTTTTTCTTTCCCTAGAGAGAAGCCAGGTGCTTGGAGTTTCCTCCTTAATTATGACTTCCTCTCCAAAATCCATGTTGAAGTAATCTTCAATGCAACAATATTAAGAGGACTCATAATGATAATTTAATCATGTCTCACCCTCACAAATGAAATTGATAGCCTACTAAAAGAACTTGAGATCAAAGGGCGCACTTTCTTGCCCTTCCATTCCTTCCACAATGAAAGGACAATGAGTTGGTACCATCTATTGAGAAACAGGCCTTCACAGAACCTACTGTTACCTAGATTTAAGACTTCCCAACCACTAGAACTGAGAAATATATACCTGTGATTTATAAATTACCCAGGCTGTGGAATTTTGTTGTAGCAATACAAAAAGGATAAGACAATTCTTGAATACCTGTTATTATGTCAGGAGAAGAAAATACTGCAAGAGGGTGCCACAAATTTTCCTACTAGCCTAGGTGCAGTTGTGGAGTCTTGTGCTTTTTTTGGGGGGAGTCTTTTAACTGGTTTCTGGGTTTCTTACAAAGGGAATAGGTCTATGTGTTGTGTTTCTGTGGAAGGAAGAAGGGTCTGGAGCTTTCAATTCCACTATCCTGCTTATGTCACTACTAGACTTTTCTTAAATAAGATAATCTCACTGAATAATGGCCACTAAATTATCTGAAGATGGACAAGTTTCAGTCAGATTAATGGTACTGTAGTCAATGGGGCTGCATTATGTAGACATGATAGAACACAAGCATTTTAGGAAAAAGCTCTCACTCAGGCTGCATTACACACTCATTTATAAGCAGTATGATAATTTTGATTGACCATACTGATTGTTTAATGAAAATAGCTAAGTGTATAAGGATGGTAGTTATAGTAGTAAAAGGGCCAATCCATTAAATAGTTGAAGCGGTTACTAATATAAAAAGCCCCAAAGCTTTTCCACTGATTACCATGATAAGCAAAGAGTAGAAGAATAAAAAAACAGCATCTTTTTTGAAATCTGAGCTCCAATTCCAGTTTCAATGTTATTACTTTTATTAGACTTTGTGTCATGGATAATGTTTTACATTTCACACTTAAAATGATTATTCATTATTTCATTTTCTTTTTGCAACATCTCTGTTAGGTAGAGCCTCAGGAAATGGACCTGCTTATATTTTTATTGCTAACTTAGTACCTAGATACTAATTGCGGAAGCAATCTGTTCAGAGACCTTGCAGCATTTGTACTGTTAATATTGTGCAGTACAGCTATCACAGCTGACAGTATACATCATATTTTGTAAAATATTTGAAATATACTGCACTTGCAACTTTCATGACTCTTATAAATGGACAAACATGTTGTAACAGAAACTGGAATTGTAATATTTTGTTTTACTGATGAAAAATTTTACTTTGGATTTGATTTTCCTTTGAATTTTGATAGGGCATGATTACCAAGAATAACTTGAGATTTTCTCCTCTAACAGATTTGACTATTCTGTGCTTTAATATAAATGAATTATTTTATAATTCCTTTCTATCTGCTAGGAAACAATTCAAATGGAAAACCCAGTTTACGTTCCTAAAATTCATGGTATGATTTATCATGAGGTAAGGAGATCATATTGTACCCTTTCAATCTAACTTTAATTTTGGTTTCCAAACAACCTATATCTCTTTCAAGGTTAAAAGCACTGAAAGTACACATGAACGCTAAGGAAAATCTTAAAATTTCCTGAAATGCATTAGCCATCCTATTTATATAACAAATATCTTGTTTGTTTATGATGGTCTACATCATTAATCTAGATAAATAAACGTAGAAGTGAAGGGAGCTGGGTTTGCTGTGTTGTCCATTGCCCAGCAACCAATGGTTACAACTGTTTTGCAGCAGGACACTGTGGTAGAGCTTCTGCAGCATGTGCTATTTTTTATACCAATCTGAATCAGGGTGGAAAGCCTGAGAACTCACATTTGCTATTGGTTAACAGGGCAAGTTTAGGACATTTACCTTTCAACATTTCAAATTATATTAATTTTAATTATATTAACATTTTAATGTTAATATATCTCCTAATTAGGTAATGGGCACACAAAAGCTTTTTAATAGTATCTATATGTTTGAACTCTTTAATTTTTTAACAAAAGTATACGTGCAACCTATTAATTATATTCTTTACTTCCTTAGAAATAATTTCCTGAACTTTGAAAAATTATAACAGTAATATATATGCTAATAACTAATTAATATAATGTGGAAACAATATAAAACAAATACATTTGTAAAACAAAAACTACAAGAGTCTTTCCCTATTCCTAATTCAATTCTCTGAGATAACCACTCTTCCTTTTAATAGATTACACATTCTTCTTTATTTTAAAAGTACTCTCAGAGAATGGCAAAGTAACTACACATACAAAAACCCTCTTTGAAATATAATTTATAAATGACACATCAAAACATGTAAAATAAGAAAGATGATAAACCATATTTTTCTACTAACTTAGTATTTGAACAATATTACAGCTATAAAGAAATGGCTTTTAAAGCCTATATTCATCATTATGCTATTGTTGGAGGTAAAGTCTGTTTCTTTTATAAGCTTTGTTTATAAGTCTTTTAAAAAACAGTATCATAGAAATATTTCATGTTTGATATAAAGTAACAAGTACTATTATTTTTCATATAGATGAGCCTCCTTAATTGGAAAAATATACTGTAGATGTATGAAAAAAATGATGTTTACCACCTCACCCAACAAATCTTCTATTCAACGGATGTGTACTTGGAATTTCTATTCTAAGTGCTAGTGCTTCAGTATTTGTGCTATAAAGAGTTGAAGGTATGTGCTCTTTCTGTTATCAACTTGTCCTATGACCATGGTAAGTCATAATCTTTCTGAGCCAGTTTCTTTCTTTCTTTCTTTCTTTTCTTTTCTTTTTTTTTTTGGGTAGTGCTAGGGATTGTGAGCCAGTTTCTTTATTATTTGATTGGTATCCTTAGCAGTTACAGTGAAAAGTATAAAGGTAACATATATCTACTAAACACATTGACACTAATAATTATGTAGAGGGGGCGAACTCCAACCAAGAATAAGAGTTAACACAGTAGTTTTGGCAGGTAGGTCTTCTAAGAAATTTGGGAATAATTTATAAACAAATACAACAAAAGTGGTAATTTTATCTCTTATTCTTTAAGGAGGAGTGCTTCATTAGAAAGAACATGAGATCTGATGCTCCCAAATCCTCATTTTTATATACAACAGCTAGTCTGGACCAATAAAGCAACATCTTTAAGCCTCAAATTTCTTTGTACATCAAATGTAATTTAACAAATTCTTAGCAGTGATTATGTGTAATAATATAATGAAAGAGACACAGCTTTCTTCTTCTTATTCTCCCAAACAAAACCTTTACATATGTTCCTTTAAAGTTAAAAAGCACTCTAAAAATAAAGGTTCTTTCTTTTTGAACCCAAAGTTAAGAGCACAGATGCTGATGTTTGTTAAGGCGACAGAAGTCAATACAGAGATTGTTATAGCTGTTTTGGTCTTTTGTTAGAAAAATATTTCATTTTGGATGAAACAAGGCCAAGCCTTAAGAAATATAGCTTAACCTTAGAGCCCAAGAACAATTTTCTACCCAGAAACAGAGTTTATCATAATCATGCTTTTGTTTTTTATTGTTTGTACAGAAAATACAATATTAATGTACAAATCACTATGTCAATCTATTCATATCATATAACATGGACTGGTGTGGTTCCCAAAGTATGGTTTTTGATATACTGGTTCTATATGATAGTTGATATACTGGTTCTATATGATATAGGAGTTATAAAATAGGAAGTTCTATAAATCTAAAATCATTGTGGAAAATACTGGGTTAAATGAGGTCATGATTTTCTTCCTTTATGATTTCTGTTACTTTTTTTTTTTTTAGAGAATTTTTAATATTTATTTTTAAGTTTTCGGCGGACACAACATCTTTGTTGGTATGTGGTGCTGAGGATTGAACCCGGGCCGCACGCATGCCAGGCGAGCGTGCTACCGCTTGAGCCACATCCCCAGCCCGATTTCTGTTACTTTTTTAAAAAATATTTTTTAGTTGTAGATGGATATGATGCATTTATTTATTTATTTATGGTGCTGAGAATTGAACCCAGTGCCTTACCTGTGCTAGGCAAGTGCTCTACCACTGAGCTATAACCCCAGCCCATGGATTTCTATGTTACTTTAACTATGATTTCTAAGTGGGGACTATATGGTTGAGTTTTCTCAGCATATATGACTAGAGAATTCACTGTTGATTTGGAAAGCATCTAATAGATCTGTGGTAACACAGCATGCATTTGGGATATGTTGGCATATTCTATCCTATAAAATCGGTCATCAAAAACCACAAAAGATCCGAATATTGCTTACATTCTCCTTTTCTATGTGCTTCCTTAAGCTCCCTCCCCACTTTAGTTTTTCCTTTTAAATTGTTATAATGCTACTTCTCCATTTTTACAGGTTACTCTGCTCGATTTAATTCCTTAATTCTGGGCTTCATAATCCCAATCTTATGTTCTCAACCTACTTTTCTGGTCCTATATCCTTCTTTTCCATTGTAAATAAGCTGACTTGATTTTCCTAAATCTGCTCTGTAATTTTCTAAATCTCAACTTCTGTTAGTGTTCACCTTTTGTTTAAAATATCTTCTTTCAATCCTATCTACTTTGTCAAAGTCTATCTGACATAATACTCTCCTTTGTTAAGCATTTTTATAATCTTTGTCTTTTTTCAAAGGGCAGAGGAACTAACTCTTATTTAATTTCTGTTTGGCAAGAATTTAAGGCCTTTGCTCTGCATCAGAATTGCTCCTTCTATGAGCATATAACAACATGGGGAGTGTTACTTTTACTATTGCTTGACAGGATGGACCCATCCTGACAACAATAAGGATTAAGTGAAGCCCAAAGAGAAACTTCAACAATTGGGCCAAGACAACACCCCAATATCCATATAAGAAGTATGGGAAAGGTGGACACAAGAGTTACAGGGTCACTTGTCTTTGTGGAAAATAACAGTACTTGTGGTATGAGGAAAGTGTATTCCTGAAGCTGGTTTCAAGATGACAGTAGGGCTCTGAGAGACTAACTCAAAGACTGGCTATGCCTGCAAAATGAAAAGATTGGCCTTCCATTCCCTGTTCAACATCTTTTTAGGCAGAGAACATTCTAATCTGTTTCTGTGCCTATTAAGCAAGGAAGAGAGAACTAAAAGAGAAATGGCAGGCAGAGTGAAGGGGCAGTGGTGGAACAGCCTGCATGTATACAATTTTGACCAGTAAGGACATAAGAAATTCCCGTGGGACAAATCAAATGAGTTGTACTTGAGTTAGCTTGCTGATATTCTAGCAAGATGATGACCTGCTTGGCAAGGGGAACACATCAGCAAGAGACTGGTGAGCATATCACTGTGGGTGGATACTTTGACACTAAAACAGTATGGCATTATTAACCTAGAGGACCCTCTGAAGAACTCTTAACATCTAGCAGTTGAGAGGGCCAGCATGTGGATACTAGCCTCAGAGATACAGGAGCAGTCATAATCAACAGAGGACCAGCTGTGTGAAGAAACTCATACCAAGTGCCCATGCTTTTTTCTGGTCCAGTGAATTGGACGAACGAGGTTGTGCAAAGAGGAGGGAGAACCAGAATCTTCACAACCAGAATCTGTTCTCTAATTCTTTCAACATTTCAAATACTGAGAATCCTGGATCAATTCTATATTGAGTAGATGGCAAATCAGATTTTAACCTGCATTTGAGGTATAAGTTTTAAACATTGAATTTTAATAAACAAGTGATTCTAAAACTGTAGAATAGGGCAAAGATACACTTATGAGACAGAAAAAGATCTGACAAAGCATAGTCAAAAGCCCACCATGAGTAAAAGAAATAGTTTATTGTGAATACCTCCTGAGCTGAAATTCCTACACAAACTGGTTAAGCACGTTGACTCTTATTTCATGCTTTTGTGTGGTGGCAAATATACTCTGAAGTAAAAGAGAGTTGGTGGAGCAATTAAGTCATGGCCCCTGGTCTGGCCACTTGCAAATTTCACAAATAAAGTTAGGGTTTCTAGGATCCATCTTATTGGTGATTTGAAGGCATAAGAGTCAAGAAATTTCACTGCATATTATTTTGGAATTCTCATATTTTGAAGGAATGGGTTAGAGAAGTTGGTCCAGCAATCCCTCCATTATAGTCAAGATTTTATAATAGCAAGTTCAATTAAAAGTAATTACAGTGGTAATTATGATTAAAATGAAATGGCTGAGTTAACATTAGCAATAACACAAAAACACATGAATCCCCTTTAATAAAGGAAGACAGAAAGAAAATAAAGTCAGAAGTAAGACAGTTGTTTCACACTCCCTTCTTCCCACATTCCGCCTCTTCTTGGTCCAGCCGTAACGAGGAGAAGCCTAAGCATCTACCAAGAATATAACGGAGGTGCCTGCTAATTTTCCTTTTCAGGACAAAGAGATTTGAGGTTCAGCTCCATCATTAATTAGCTGCAAGACCTTGGGCAGGGCAATATGGAAATCAGGCTACAGTTGGAGTAGCTATCTACAGAAAGTTTAAAATGTAACAATTCTAGGAGTATTCACAAACTCTCTTTGCTTTTCTATTTACTGTCTCCAGTCCTTCCACACAGATAACTCTACTGATAGTTGCTTTTTACATTCGAGCTAGATCAAGACAACAGCCTATTAACTCCAGGTACTTGCAATCAATTAAGATTTTTATCTTCTAGAAATCTGCTTTAAGACATAGTCTCTAAAAGAATAGTGTTTATAAGTGTGATTTGCTTTTCCACCAAATGTCTGGGTTATTCACTCCTCTTTTAGTTCTTTAATAAGAATCTTCTGGAGCTAGTTTGCCAGGGTTTGAATGCTCACTGTGTCCTTTACTACAGAATGATCCTGGATATCCCTCACTTCATCTATAAAAAGGAGATAGTGATGGCATATGCTGTATAAATTCTTTTGAGGATTAATGAGTTAATACATGAAAAGTACATAGAACAGTGTCTGGTATTATACATGTTAGACATTATTTTATTATTATTTTAAGCATAGTTTGGGTCTATCCTGCAGGGAAGGCCAGCTTCATGGGCTTTCATAGAACCCTGTGCTTAGAAGAGCCCAGCACTTGGGGTTTAGTGCTCTTGGGATTGCTGTCTTGAAATTTTTAATAATTTTATCTTTAAGTTTATTTTCAGCAAGAGAAGTCTGCTAGGACAGTGGAGTATTTGTGGGGTGAGTGGATAGGGCCGGGAGGTTGGCTACATGTAACCCTGTATTCTGTCCTCCCAAGCCTACTCTGCCATTCCCCAGGTGTCACAACCACAGATCTCCCACTCTGTACCTTGTCTCCTTCTCCTCAGATCTCCCACTCTCTGCCCTGGTTCAGGTCTGAGTGAGGGTCAGGGTTGGGCACATATTCCATGGCATCTTTTTTTTTTTTTTGGTACTGAGGATTGAACCCAGGGGTGCTTAACCACTGAGCCACACCCCAGCCCCTTTTTATATTTTATTTAGATAAAGGGTCTCACTGAGTTGCTAAGTGCCTCGCTAAGTTGCTGAGGCTGGCTTTGAATTCACAATCCTCCTGCCTCTGCCTCTGCAGCTACTGGGATTATAGGTGTGTGTCACTGTGCCCAGCTTCCATGGCATCTTGAGTTAGGGCATGGAGGCACCTGTTTTGCCTGCGTCGGGCAGTGCCTCAGGCCATCTGATGGGTGACTAGGCAAGGGCAAGCTTTGTATTCACCTCCTAATCAGGTACCTATCATATTCCAGTGAGGAGAATACAATATTCATCCATTGTGGGCTGGGATAGTCTGTGGGAAGGGGATATGCCTGATTCAACTCTCTCAGCTCTGGCCAAGGCAAAGTCCATCAGGAGGGGAAACCCTGGCACCTGATGGACTGCGTGTGCCCCAAGACAATGGGTGAATCCTCAGGGGCCTCTGAAATATGTGCTCTGAGAGTATCCCTGTCTTGAAGGAACCTGACCTTAATTAGCAAATAAAAACACCAATACAGGTCAAGAGAACAAGACCTCAGAAGAAAGGAAAAAGTTTAATATTTAAGTACCTTGAGTGGAACTTTTTCTGGTGCTTTGAGCAGGAGGACCTACATCTTCATTTTTACTGGGCCGTGCAAATTATGTAGCTATCTGCCTGCAAGGCTTACTTTCTTTCACAGAATGCTTTTTTAAAAAAATATTTTTTAGTTGTAGTTGGACACAATACTTTTATTTTATTTATTTATTTTTATGTGGTGCTAAGAATCGAACCCTGCGCCTCGCACATACTAGGCGAGCATTCTACCGCTGAGCCACAACCCCAATCCCCACAGAATGCTTTTTATAGTAAGCACTTTTACTAGGCACTATCACTGAGAAGTTACAGATGATAGGCTATTAAACTATATGAATATAAATTTTGAAATGAATGACTCCAATTTAAAAGACTCATACTAGCTCAATATTTCCAAGATTATCAGTCTTTTTAATCCATGTAGTTGAAATCAGGTACTGCCTCCATCCTTCTGATAAAACATACACACACACACACACACACACACACACACACACACACACACACACACACGTATATTTGGTGGTACTGTGGATTAAAGCTAGGGGTGCCTACCACTGAACTATAGTCCCAGTCCCCTTTATTTTTATTTTGAGACAGGTTCTTACTAAGTTGCTGAGGCTGGCTTTGAGCTTATGATCCCCCTGCCTCAGCCTCCTGAGTTGCAGAACTTACAACTGCATGCCACTGTGCCTGGTCCTGAATTCTTGATTACTGATGCTTTGTACAGTGATCAAAACAAACAACAACAAAATGATACTTTAAAGTTAGAAGTATTTTTTGTGCTGTTTTTTCTTCCTTCCATTGGACAATTTGGATAACTGTGCTTTCATTTGAGGAACATTTTAGTTATTTAAATATTTGAAATACTATGTATGTTTATAACATGATAATGATATAAACTACAGTTCAATTATAATTTTCACCCACCATTTGAATCGATAATATTTTCCACAATAAATATTGGGAAAGTTGCTGGCAAGGGAGCTGTGTTTCAGGCTGCTATGGGTACATAATAGAATTGAGGAGGGCAATGGAGAGGGTCATGGTATCAGGGAGTAAACAGTAAAGATGAACTCATTAGCATTAGAACAGTTAAATTATTGCCAATTATTTAAACTACAAAGGTTGAAAAGATCAAGCCTGATAAAAGCATAAAAAATCAACAATACCATGATCCTCTGAATTGAATACATGTTTTTAGTTCGGTTAACATTTTGCTTTTTTCATTTCAATATTATTGTCAATTGAACCATTTCATCTGAGAAATGATTTGCTCATTTATATTTTCTGACTGATTAATGTCCCCAGGGTACTGCCAAATTCGAATTTTCAAACCTCAAAGTTCCCCACAAGTCTTGCTACTGGTTCAAAAGTGTGCTGAACGAGAGAAGGCAAATCCAGATTCCAGCTGAGCAGCTGGGAAGCATCATCACAGGTTGAATGGAAAATCAGGCATTGGATGCAGACATTTTGGGGAAAAAAAGAGAGATGTCAACATAATTAAAAAATTTAACAAATGAAAGGCAGTGTGGTATGATACTAACATTTGTAGCTGTAAGCCTATTTTATACTCCATAATCTTATGTTTTGGTTTTTTTTTGTTTGCTTTTAATGGCAACAGGTTAATATCCACAAGGAAAATCATGTACACCTGGATCAAAAAGAAGCTACTGGCATAAGGCATTTTGGCATTAGACTAGATGTACACATGCTGACATGTCAAAATCCTTGAAACAGAAGTTTCAGAACCTCCTCATGACTGTGGAAGGCAAGTCATTGACTGCATACTAGCTTAAAAGTGCGTCTTTCCAGATATAGCATTCAGCCACACAAACAACAGAATTGGCAAATAAAGCCTAAATATGTACTTGGAAGTGAAAGTCTCAAGCAGAACAAAGTATGAGTCAGCTGGCAAAGCTTCCAAGTTTCAGATAAGAATAAGACTCTAAATACAAAATAGGAAGGCACATTTTGAATGGCTATTTTGACTGATAGGACAGTGTGAACACTGGGTAATAACCCCCATTCCTGCACCACGATCACTAACTCCCCTGGCCTGGCTTCTAAGGCTGGGCAAGAGAGCAAGAGGAGCATGATTTCATTCCATCTGGTACTTGGCACTTATCTTCAGTATGCTTTATCTTGCAGTGTGAATCTGCTGAGGCCCTGGTGTTCTCTCCAACTTTTCATTCTAGCTATATTGCTTACATTTCTTAAGACCAAAGATTCTGCGTGACATGTCACAACAAGTACCAGTTATTGGTGGACAACTTAAGAAGGGCATTTTATATTATTTTACTTTTTAAAAAAATTTATTTATTTTTTTCTAATCAGTTATTCATGACAGCAGAATGCTCTTCAATTCATTGTACACAAATGGAGCACAATTTTTCACTTCTCTGGTTGTACCCAAAGTAGAGTCACACCATTTGTGCAATCATACATGTACCTAGGGTAATGATATCTGTCTCATTTCACCATCTTTCTTTATCCCCATGCCCCCTTCCCTCCCTGCATACCCTTTGGCCCATCCAAAGTTAAGAAGGGCATCTTAAACACTCAGTTCTGTCGAATAATCTTATCTAATTAGTACTTCTTTCAGTTATGCCATAAACGTTTCAGTAAGCCCAAATTTTATCAGGGGAGTTACAAATTTCTAAAGTTTTACTGATCCTTACCAACTACTTCTTCATTTAACAACTAAAAGAGCCCTTCAGTCCTCTTATCTTTTTAAAATTATTTTCCTCCTTTTGGCCTCACTATGGAGTAAAGGTGTTGGAGTATATACCTGAATTAGCAGGTTACCACTTCAGTACATTTCAAGCAAAACAATTTGAAAAATTGCCAAACAATATTGGGGTTGGGCAGATAATAGTGACCCTTCATGATTTCACGTGCAATGTAAACAGGAAACACATTGCTGAGGCCAAATAAAACGGAAAAAAAGAAAAGAAAAAAGAGGTGTAAGATCTTAGCAGGGCAAACAGCATTCAAAATGGAGATTGTACTGTTTATACATTAAGTTTAGACTTTCTGTTTTTCCAGTAGCAAGATTGTGCTAGTTATAATTATTTGTCTCAAAAGTTTGATGTTGCAGTAACAGAACTGTGGTGAGGTTTTGTGCCTAATTTTTCCACTGGTCTTCTATATTACCAGGAAATTATCCAATTATTTAAATAAAAATAGGTGATTCATTATTCAATATAACTTCACTTCATCAAAACTATATTAGAACATTTAATAAAGAAAATACTTTATCCCCTTCTAAAGGGCATGCCAGTAATTATACAGTGATATCTCATGATTTCTCTCAATATTTAAATATGAAAAATTACAAGCATATAACAGCTGACTTTTTGAGAATACACATAAAAATATCACCTGCATTGTGCAATTGACCTTTTTTTCTGTATTTACTTCCAAACCTCTCCAAACATCCATCTGTCCATCAATTTATCAAATTATTGGTAAATTTCAAAGTAGTTGCAGATATCAGTACACTTTACCCCTGATCACTGCAGCTTGCACATCATTACCTAGAATTCAATACTATGATTTCTTTTTTAAAAATACAAATTTATTGAGGTATAATTTATATGCCATACCACCCCTCCTTGTGGCTCTTTTTTACATCAAAACTTTTTTCTCTTCTTACATTTTACAGTGCTGGAGATTGAACCCAGGGCCTTGTACATGCTAGGTAAGTGCTCTATAGTTCTTTAGCCCTACATCACAACTTTTAGTGGTGAAGATATGGAACAGCTATGCCTCTGTCCTTATTATATGTGTTAGATAATATTTATGGCTTTCATATCTTCTGCTGATAAACACACAGATGTACAAAGTTTTAGAACAATCTAATCTTCAAATTTGAAAAAGACCATAGACCCTCTTCCAACCGAAATAATGAGAAATTTCACTATTAGAATAATAGATAACATATTTATAAGCCTCATCTCCAAACTTGAGTCATTATGGCAAATGATGTGTCACTTATAATCATTTCATGAAAACTGTGCCACTGCAGGTCGGGTCCAAATACTTTCAAGTGCTACAATTTTATAGCTATTTACAGGTACAGACTACATTTCCAATACAAAGAAAACTATAGCATCATCTGCTCCACATACTCTTGCACAATATGACCTTGCTGCTCCACCATCAAGTGGCAAGTTTTACTTCTTTTGTTGAATCTGGGTGGGCTTGTGACTATTCAAGTTGATAGAGTGTGGCAGATCTGATGTTTCATCACCTTTGAGGATGGGTCATAAAAGACAAGATAACTTCTAACTTATTTACCAGGGCACTTGTTTTTAGACCCCTGAGCTGCCATCTCACCAGTCTGACCACCAGGAAGGAAGAGGGCACAATGTTGGGAGGAAGCCCAGGCCACATGGAAAGGTTATGCACAGGTGCTCTTCAGAACAGCCCCAGCTGAGGGCACAGCTACAGCCAGCATGAAATGCTAGATATGTGAGTGAAGATGCTCCTTGTAGATTCTAACCTTTTTCTTCTTTTTAATTAGAACATTATAATTATAAATAGTATTTGGGTTCATTTGAAAAAATCATAATGCAAGAAATTTGATTTCAATCCCCATTTCCTTTACCCATTCCTTCCCTCTTCCTTCCACTTATTCTCTCTTTTCTACTAAATTTCCTTTCTTTTATATATACATACAGGTGAAATTCCCTTTGGTACCTTTATATATGAATATGATAGTTAAATTCATTCCATATTTCTTTCCCTTTCTATTCCTTCCTCCCTTGCTCTTGTTCTCCTTCTTCTATTCGACTGATCTTTCCTGTATCTTTATGATATCCCAATTCCTCTTTTTTTTTATGGTAAGACCAAAGAATATTTAATGAGCATATACTATATGTTAGTACAAATAGTGCACATATTTGTCCTAGCTGTTGGGGAATACAGCAGTAAGTAATATATTGAAATATATCGTCAACACTCAAGGTGTTGACAGTAGTGGAAAATGGAAATCAGCAAGTTTGCCTTATAATATAATTATATGACATTCCTCATACCTGTAATCCCAATAGGTTGGACATAAGTTGTTTTCAAGTAATACTAAAAAAAAAAAATAGAAATGAAGAGTACATTTATACCTGGAAATCAGCTATGTCAATCAACCAACTATGCCAGCCATCCTCAATTCCCCCTGACAACCTTTTTTTTTTTTTATTCCAATTCCTCTTCAACTGCCTTCTTTCCCTTATTTTGCTCTTGTTTCCACGTATAGAGAAAACACTCAACACTTGATTTTCTGAGTCTGGCTTATTTCATTTAGCATGATTTTCTCCATTGTCATACAATAATAGACAAATGCCTTTATTTCATTCTTCTTTATGGCCAAGTAATACTCCATTATGTATATGTACCATATTTTCTTGATCCATTCATCTACTGACAGGCATCTGGGTTGATTCCATAATTTGGCTGTTGTGAATTGTGGTGCTATAAACATTGAAATGGCTGCATGGCTATAGCATGGAGAAATACTGAGGAGTGGGAAAGATGGGTCAAGTGGTAGTGTAATTCCTAATTTTCTAATGAGGTGATTCTAATTTTTAGTTATCCATATATATTCTTTTCCACCTAAGGACCAAGATATCATGGAACTACCTTTGGTATCTGTCCAAATTCCTGACCCACAGAAGGCTTGGATGTAACAAAATGATTGTTTTATATCACTAAGAATTGGGGTGATTTGATACACAGTAATAAGTGGAAGAGCCCTTCTCTTTCTCACACTGTGCAAAGCAAATCAAAGGACTACTGTTTTAAAAAGAAATGCCATTTTCTTTGGAAGATATATTCACATATAAATGATATCTTGCAAAATTATTACCTCAGATGGTTATTAATGTGTCATATATTTAGGTAGTCAGAATTTTTTTTTATAAACTATTGCTCTAAGAATTTTATTATGTTTGTCAGTCAGTGCCAGCTACTGGCTGGATAATTATGCTACTTACCTGCATTAGGGACTAACACAGATAGTCTAACAGGTGTGAAAAAGGAGCTTAGATTGATTGTAAGCTCAATGAGTCAATTATGGATGTGGTTACCAAAAAACAAACCAACAAAACCAATCATCCCTCCAATACCCCTCCCCTTAAGAAAACAAATACATTCCCAGATCCATAAACAGAAGCATTATCCTAGTACCAAGGACTCCTTTGGACATGTGGTGAAGACTATGAACCCTTTTTCAGAGTAATGCTTTTTGAATGCATAAAATAAATACACTGGATTACAAAGGAACAAGTTACGCTGAAATGTTATTAAATAATAAATTAATTTTTGAGAGAGTAAGCTATCTGTAATTTTTAATTAACCATTAAATAAAAAGAATGGGGTGAAAACTAATATTTACCAAAGGAAATAAATGTAAATAATATTGAGATACTTCTTATGGTTGTAATCTTACATAAAAAATCTGTGATTTCTATTGATGACAAAGTCATGGTTACAAATGCTCCTGTGGTTTGATGCTTATGTTTATTACTAAGAAAGTGCTAAAATTAGTGAAAACAAAGTTGTAAATTTCTCTTTCACCCAAGTTCCTGAAACCTCTAAATTTCATCTGCAGACAACAGATTTGGGCAATTTCTTATATTCAGAACTATCCATTATCTTTTTTAAAAAATTTATTTGTTCTAATTAGTATATATGACAGCAGAATGTATTTTGATTCATTGTACACAAATGGAGCACAACTTTTCATTTCTCTGGTTGTTCAGGATGTACATCTGCACCATATGTGCAGTCATACGTGTTCCTAGGCTAATGATGTCCATCTCATTCCACCATCTTTCCTGCGCCCTTGCCCCCTTTCTTGCCTGTCAATAAAGTCTCATCCATTATTCCAGGCCTAGTTCAGATCCTTTTTCTAGTAAGATGATAATCCACGATTTTGCCTTTTTATGAATTCCTACTGCACTAGCAATCAGTTTACTTTTATTTTGTCACTTAGTTTCTATTTCATCCACAATCAGTTTTGTCTCTTTTCCTAGTCTGGAGATTTATAAGAATGGAGAAGATTTGCTAATTTGTATTACCAAAAGTTAAGTACATTGTAGGCACTTGCATAATGTGTATTGCCCGTCCTATTGCTAATGTCCAGCTGTGCAAATAACCTATACTGCTGTGGGAACAGCAAGGCAACACATATTCTTCTTTACTATATTGTCAAATACAATGGATCACTGAAGACAGGCTACACAACTTATGTCCTGGATCCTAATAAAAACACTTACACAGCACTTATGGTGTGCCCAATACTCTTCTAAGCACTTTGCATATTCATTAAATCCTTTTTATCAGCCCCATGGAATAGGTACTATATTATCTCCATTTTATAAATGAGGAACTAAAGCACAGATGATTAGTAAATAGGTGGAATTTTGAAAACAAGCAAAAATTATTCTCCAGAACCAGTGTACTTAACTACAATGCACTACTAATCATGATATTTGTAAATGTAAAAACTCCTTGCACATATCTGTTACTTTTTCAAAATCACTCATTTGACAATCAGCTTTTCTTTTGCTGAACTCCTATATCCCTTAACCCGGTAATCATTAACTTGGGCCTGTGCTGTTTGAATTTTATTACAATAATAGCAGCTACCATTTACTTAGTGCTTGCTGTGTGCCAGATTCTGGGCAAGTGACTTAATGTATAGTTAATCTTTGTAACAACACTATGAAGCAGTAAAGGAAACCTAGGCTCACATGTAAGTGGTAAAAGATTAAACAGTAAAAGACCAAGGATTCTAATCCAAAGCTGTCTGACTCCAAAATCTATGCTTTAAAAGCTGACCTATTTTCCTATGTATTTTTATCTTGTTTCATCAACTGCATTATAACTTCCTTGAAGGTAGAGATTATGTTTTATACTTGCTTGCTGATTTCATAATATTTAGAAGGTTTCAATCCTAATCAATACTGAAAAAACTGTTTCTTGTTTTGATAGATAAAACTAATGTTTCACAGAATTCAGCCTGGTGTAGTAGGAAAACATTAGGATCTTTCATTAACTCTATGTCTTCTGGGAATTTATCTAAAGTCTTCCACTTTCAGTTTCCTTATCATTAAAAGGAAAATACAGATAATTATAGGGATGCTTAAAGATTAAAAAGCAACAATATCTGTGAAATACTTATTAAAGTTTCTGCCATATAGCAAGTAATTAATAAATGATAGTTTCTTAGTCCCTTCCTTAAAACATATTTTCTTGCTATGTCTACAACGACAAAGATTTTAGTATACATGTTTAAAAAAATACTTAAATTTGGTTGTGCAATACTTGTAATTTGCAGTATTCAGTCCACTTTATTCTTAGCCTCAAATTAATAATATTTATCAAGAATCACAAATATTAGTTTATCTTAAATCTGAAAAAGAATTCCCAACTGAGCTACCAAAGTAGTTCTTCTGTCTCTATGGTTTATCAAAATAGTTACTGGTGAGCCAATATTAAGGAAATATGTAGGAAATGCATGGTAGGCAGAATAATGGTCTCCCAAAGATGTTCACATCATCATCTTTGGAACCTTACCTCATTTACACTGTAAAGTATAATTTAGATTACAGATAGAATTAAGGTTGATAATCAGTTGACCTTGAAATAGGTAGATTATCTTGGTTTATCTGAGTGGGTCCAATGTAATCATAAGGGTCCTTAAAATTAAAAGAGAGAGGCAGAAAAGAAAACGAGATAACAGTGTGAGAAGGACTTAGCACATGTTGCTGGCTTTGAAGACAAAGGAAGAGCCACAAGCCAAAGAATGCTAGCAGCCTCAAAAGCCAGAAAAAGTCAGGCAGCAGATTCTCCTAGATATCCTCCAAGACAAATGCATCCTGTCAACCACTTGATCTTAGCACCATAACATTAACTTTGGTTTTCTGCCCTCCACATCTGTACAAAATACATTTGTATTGTTTAAGCTACTAAATTCATGGTAATTTCCCATAGTAGCAATATGTAAATAATACCACAAATTTGGGATTGTGCAAAAACAAATGTGGTTTTAAACAAGTGATTGTATGAATAACAATAGTGGTATTTTGATGTACCAGGAATATAAGTCAAATATCATGAAACATAGTGAAGTAATCATTAGATTAATTACTAGCATTTATTTTTAATTAGCTGGGTTAGAGATTTTTTCTTTAAAAAATGTATACTTTAGTTACTAGAAATATCCTTCTGTTTGTGAACATGATCATAGAATAGTAAAGAAAGAATCTTAATTACAACGGGGGGGATTTTTGTTTGGATAAGAAGATGTTTTTGATATTGTCATTATAATGCTGAAAATATTTCCTTGGCTAATTAGTACTAAAATGTATTGCCTGGCTCTCAAATCTGTACATCTCACCAAACTTAAATACTTTTACATTCAAAATAAAACTTCGAATTAAATCATATTTGTGTCCACTATACCATCACACATGTGACTCATCCTCAAATTTCTTCTTATGGCATTTCCAGTCTGCCTGTTCATCTTTTCTTTCTTCTCTGTCATTCAGCGCAAATTGACCTTTGCTAAGCATTTAGAGATTTATATTCTGTAACTAAATTTTAGCTTCTATTGCACATTATTCTCTATTATTTGTATGTTTTTCATTATGATTCCAGGTTTGTGTATTTTTTTCTTAACTGTTCGCTTCTTGATGATTGAAGAAGGTTGTTGGGTTTCATGGGGTTTCATTTAAGTTATTCTCTATTTTTATGTATGTCTAAAATTTTCTATCATAAAAAGTTATAAAACAACCAAACTAGGGGAAGTACCCTTCTATTTGTATTCATAGGTTTCTCCCTTCCTTGGAACTGTTGGATTGATTTGCCTCTAAAGTTTTACTTCTCTTGATTGAATAAACATGACAAAAAATGTGATACTATGTTCAAATGGTCATGGTTTTATCCAATGTAAATAGTAGATTTCTATAAATTAGTGTATATTATTGAAGATAAAACTTTCACTGCTGCTCAGTAAAGAGAAGCACAAATAATTCAACCCACTGTTTATATAATCCTTGTATTTTGAAATCTTTGCCTCAATGTTATCGGTACAGGATTACATGTTAACATATTACTGGCAAGAAATGATTGAGACAGAAGGTTTTCATCAACATGTAATAAAGAAAAAGTTAGAATCAACAACAAAACTTAGTATTGCTAGTTTTTCCATGAAGTATTAACAACACAAAATGTTAATTAATTTCTAATTCTCTATTCTATTATTTAGATTTCATGAAGGTTGATTGGACTTGATCCATCATTTTACGGAAAATTAATTATTTCAAATACATGCACCACTTTATGCAACCTGCCTGATTTGCATTGAGGAAAATTCAGCAGAAGTAATTGAGGCACAAGCAAATACTGGCACTGACTGAACTCAATTTTCATTCCAAATTTCTGCAAAATCCCAAGGCACAACAATATCAGATGCAAGGGGGAAAACAAACAAAAGCAATGTGAAAAGGGAACATGAAGAGAGAATATTACAAGAATCAGAGAACAAAGGGATCGCAAAACTATTTTAGTGCCATAGATGAGCAGTGAGGGCTTCATTCAGGCAAGGTGGAATAAGATATCATATGGCATCCTGACAATTGATGTCTTCATTTAAATGTAAGAATTTACATTCTAATTAGAAAGAATTTACATCTTAATCAGAGGCAGCTGTATTATCTTGTTACTGTTTTTTTCAAAGGTAATGAACTAAAGTACTGCTGTGCTTTTTCAACCAGAAACTAAATAGACAGCATCCAGTGTTATTTTATAGCTTACCTGCTGTAAGCTGTTATTAATATTTTCAAAGATTAAATTCTAACTAAAATCTTTTAAAATGAAAATTGTATTTGACATCACTAGAATAGTATGATAAAGACTTATTTAAAGTACCTAAACAAATAATTTTCTAACTTGTATTTTAAATGTACTTATTTATCAAACTAATAGAAGCCTCTTATGATTTATTAGAATAATATTGTTTTCATTTGGGAGGATATAGAAAATCTTCTAAAGGAGATATGTATTACATTCTGGCAAAACTTGGTTATTCTCAAGCTTATATTTGTTTATGAGAGATCATTTACTATATTCAAACTTTATTCAAATCATTTAAATTAATACAAATTCTTTTTTCTTCCTATGATTCTTAACAAGGAAAGGTAACATTTAAAACATGCTTGTGGTTTATGTGACTATGCTACTGTCACATTAATGACACTAAAAATGTAGTGTCACAAATATGCACAATTTTCATGGTATTGGAATTGCCATAGTTAGTGAAATTAAAGGATATAATGCATTCTGATAATATTGTTCTATTCCAGGTTATTCATAATGATGGCAACTAGACTTAGGTATTGGCAGTTAGTGATATCTTTGCAAAATCAAGCCCATCATTCACATGAGAATCAGCATGAGCTCACTGACCCATAGTTTAGAAGAAATTGGGCTTGGCCTAAAAGAAATCAAGCGGGAGAAAATTACAAGTGTTAATAAAAATGTAAAATGTCACCTTTGTCCTTAGCACTATGCATCTTTAGGTTATTGATAGTTATTTTCATCAGCTGCATCATTAATATAGAGGTGTAGTATGAGCCAGTTTATAATTTACAGGTTTGTCATTTAATTCATTAGGTATACAATTTTTTATAAAGTATAAAAGGAAAATAATAAAATGAACAAAATTGTTTCTACCAGTTTATTAAATAAGTGACTTAAATAATTAATTCAAAATCTTTAAAATTATAGAAATAGTCTATATTTATCTTTACCATTATACTGATTTTCTAGATCCATACATATAAAAGAAAAACAAGTCACATACAAATAATTCCAGGTAGATTAAAAAAGAATGAAATTAATTTTATGGTGGCATTTTACAAACCTAGGCTACTCTAATGACAAAGAGAAGATAATTATTAGTTCATTAATGCTTTTTCTTGTATTCCCACTTAAGACGATTTATAGAGGAAATGATTCAGATGGGCCCGACTGAATTACTGGCTCTGAAAGATGGCTTTATATTGCTGTCAGAAACCGTCAGCCCACTTTTGAAAGGTTTATTTGTCTATGGCTCTTCTGTGTATGATTTGTTATGAGGGCACTTAACACCACATAGTATACACAGTGCCTTCATTTTAAAAAAGTGTCCCAGATAAGTTTTTGATTATCCCTGGGTTTTATGGAATCTGTTTGTTTTTTCATAAAGAATCTCTAAAAATAAAATATGTTTCTTTTTTTAATATTTATGTGTGTTCTAAATGAAATATAACAGACTTTCAGTCAGAGTCAGAGTGTTACATCTTCCATCACTAGTTTCTACTTGGACCCATGTTTACTAAAATCACAAGTATTCATGTCCAATCTAAAAGAGCACAATAAAATAATATATAAATTCTCCTTCTCTAACTCTTGTTTTCCTTTTCACTTTTGACTTGGATTATCACAATTGTTTCCTTTCAGCTCATAGCCCCGCTCTCATGTAAATCTAAGGCACTGGTAGTTGGTCATACCAAGGACTTCATAAAATGGAGAGCCTGAAGTCATGAACTATAGTTTCCCCTACTATAATGTAAGTTAGCTCTGTTAATTACATGATAAAGAAAAGACATTGGTTCTAATCCTGATTCTCTTATTCTCTGGGTCTTACTTTCTCATCTATAAAATGGAAAAGTGTGAGAAGTTTGACAATAGTATCTTTTCTCTTAAAGTGACTTCATTCTTATGGTGTGTGTTCATTGTGTTTCAGTTATTTGATGCTGATCAACATATTATGCTTTCCACAAACCCAACCCAAAATGCATTCTTGCCTCTTTTTGTCCATCCATTTTCCAAGATCAATTACAAATCTCATCCTCTGATGCTGACTATGCTCTCTCTGATGGTGCTGGCCTATGATAATTTCCTCCTTCTGTAGCATGTATTCAACAAATGTTTACTGAATGAGGCACTATACTATGTGCTGGGGACACAAAAAAGGAGTAAAAGAAACATGGTTCCGGTTCTAAAAGAGCTTACAATATAGTAGGTAAGGCTATAAGAAGCTGGCCATGAAGACTAAAGATGTGATAAGTGCACGGAAGGCAATAAACAGCTTGCTGAGGGAGCAGGCACATGTACATTATTTATATAGTATGATCAAAGAAGTCTTATTTCCTAGAGCACAGTAACGATTAATAGTTTGACCTATAATCCATCAGTTATAAATCTTGTTTCCCAAACCAGATTGCAGTAACAATGACTATTACTGTAGCAATAATCAATTATTGTTGTAGCTAACATAAACTGTGTACTGATGAGTTATTATGTTGGGTAATTCATGTGTATTTTATCATTCAATTTTAGAACAAGGTAGGTATTTTGATTATTATCCCACTTAAGTTGAGAAAAGAGGGGCTTAAAATTATAATAAAATACTTGCTTAATGTCAGACAATTAGTAAGTGGCAGAGTTGGAACTATAATACAAGTCTACAGATACTGAAGTGTGGTATATCAATTACCATAATAAACTCTTTCTTGGAGACAGGGATCATGCTTTGTGTGCTTTAGAATCATTACAGAGTAATAAACAGTCCTTTGCACATACCAGGCAGTTAACAAATATTTGTAAGTGAGTAAGTGAACAAGGGAACCTTGGGTTTTTCAGGAGGCACTGCACTTCCCTAGAAGCAACTACAGTCTACCATACACTTAATTTGCCTCTGAAGACTTCTCGTGAAGAGACCTGTATTGAAATCCCCTTAAAAGTACTTAAAATCTAGTTTCTACCATGCTTTTCCATATTTTGTTCCAGTTAGCATCAAGTTGTATGCACATGCTTTCCTACTCAGGATTCCTGATTCTGGGTAGTCAACACAAGCAATTGCCAATATTGAGCTTATCTTCTTCCACTCAAATAATTTTTACTCAAATACTGAAAATATTCAATGACAATGTATATAAATGAGACAATCATTACACAGTAGGAAATTAAATAAAATCCACTAATCAAGAACCTCTTTTCACAGAGCTGTAGTCAGGCTTCAGATATTTTAAAGACTAAGAAGGTGTGCAGATAAAGGAAAGTCTATATTTTAATTTTACAAGCAAGATAAAAATGAGGAAAATTAGTTACATTTTAATTTCAAATAAGATTGTGAATGCCAATAACAACTCTCCTTGCACACTTATTCAAGTAGTTATACTATATTGGAGATCTTAGGCATGAGAAATCCAAAAGAGCAGCTTATAAATTTTTTTTGATTAAAAATATTCTTTAACATTATTTTTACTGTGGTTTTCTTAAGAGAAATTTATAAGTTAGCTGATTCCGTAACTTTATTGCTCACACTTTCTTTCTCACCTGTGGGAAAACCTAGCATCACCTCTTGGGTCATTCGTATTGCTGTACTAGTTGAAATTAGGGCTTAAACAGTTAAGGAAATGAACTGATATTGTCAGTAAAAACTTGAACTCTTTGATGCAGATAATCTAAAACATGGATATACAAATTTATATGGTGATTTGGAAACTCTTAATTTTTCGATAGCAAAAATGATCTTCAAGTCTATATTATTATATATCAAACAATACTAGTGTTTCTTTTATCTAAATTAGAAGTTATTTCAAGAAATGAAAACAGGAATTTTGTATCTTCTGTTTGAATCAACCACATTTTTTTTTTTTTTTTAGTAACTGAGAAGTTTTTCCATTTTCAGAGACAAAATCCACAATACAAAACAGGATCTGAAATGATGAGATAATTTGCCTTGATGCATTTGTGATAAGACCATTGCATTGCAAATTAAATGTATTGTTTTTTTCTTGAATTCTCTACTACTATTGTAAGCAGAACAAATGCACAGATGGCATGGGCCATAAAAATATAATTAAGCTTTACAATATTGTTATTATCAGTTCTCAGAAGTATGCTCTAGCTTAAGTTAGAGTGCTGAATATGTGAGCACATATAACATTTTTGAATTTTAAGTTTTTGGAAATATATGTGAAAGCTGACATATATACCTGTCCCAAACTTTCCATTTCCCCCCATGTTCGTGGCCTTCAATATCAAACATAGAATTATTTTTGGAGAGAGCATGTTAATGAAAAGTTTAAGCAATTGTTTTATTCCTTGTTTTTCATTCAGAAAACACTTTGATTTCTTTTTTAAAAAATATAAAAATGTAAAATACTGGCACAGAATATCACCAGCAGAATCAGGCTCACTCTAGGACATCTGGGTAACATAACCAAGGCCTAGGTGCTTAGAGAGGAGATTGGGACCTTGTGTGTGTTTTGGAGAAGAGAGATTGAGGATACAATCTTTTAAGACTCCTTTTTCCCCAATTTGCAAAACAATAAAATCAATGACAGCAACTAGGTAACTGCCTAACATTTCCTAAATGAAGCAGGGCATGAATATATAAAAGTACACAAAATATGTTTAAAATTCGTATACTTTATTCATACTTTGAAAAACATTGATTAACCATTTTGATCAACTGTATTTGCTTAAAACTAGCAGTCCCACGGTATATATAAATAAGGAGATTATCTAAATCTTTAAAGGTGTCATAGTTATTTCTGGTTCTCTGGGGATAGCTGGGCAACAACTGTTGTTTCACAGAAAGAACAGTATGATGCATGTCAATCTATTTCTCTGTCCCCTTCACTTGTCATGCTTGTGGGCTAACCCTCTAGTGCAAGGTTTGGGAGGCTGAAGGACTCAAAGAGACAAAACAGAGTCATAGGATCTTCTGCATGCTCCATCCTCTGTATGTTCAAGTTAAGTAAATAAATAGAGAATGGAAGTGGTCACTATTGGCTGTTACCCATATGTGCAGCCCCCTAAAGACAACCAACAATTGAAAGGAACTTTAGTGTGTTAACTCATCTGCCATATTTAATAAAAAGTACTAGCAGTTATATTCCTTGAGTGCTTTCTATGTATTTCACCAAATTAATTACTTTACAAGAATAATATTCATTTTCCTAATTAAAAGATTTAAACAAACATTTTTATATTAATTACTTCCCTACTATCTCTAATAATCTCCTTCCCCTGTTTCTTTCTTTCTCTCTCTCTCTCTCTCTCTCTCTCTCTCTCTCTCTCTCTCTCTCTCTTTTGCAGTCCTGGAGCCCAAACCCAGGATCTCATGTATGCCAGGCAAGCACTGTATCACTGAGCTATATCCAAAGTCTTCTAATAACCTGTGGATAAAGGTATTAACATCCTTGTTTTATACAAATAAGGGAGGTTCAGAAGGGTTAAGGACTTTACACAAAGTCACATAGCTAAAAAATAATTTGGAACCAATTAAAGAACTAATTTTTAAAATAAGTGTTGTATACCTAATATAGTAAAAGTACTTGTAGTAAACGAATAAACAGCGTATGTTGAGGTTAAAGATTAAATGCTAGCTAATGTTTAGGGCAAGAATCACCTACAGATGAAAAACTATGAATCATATAAAAATATATGCAAATATATAGTGGTAAAGTATACATAGCATGAATTTTACCATTTGATTGTTTTTTAAATTTTATTTTTTATTGGTGTAGTATAATTACAAAGAGTGGGATTTGTTATGTCATAGTTGTCTATGTATATGATTATATCAATCACATTTCCTCATACCTCCCCTTTCCCTCCTCCTGATCCACTTGCTCTATTTTACTGCTCTCCCTTCTATTTTGTAATTAGTGCATTGTCATTAAAGACAAAAGTGGGATTCATTGTGAGGTAATCATATAGAGACCCAATACAATTTGGTAGATTTCATTCCCTATATGCTGCTCCCCTCCCTGCTTTGGTCACTTTCCTCTACTCTTCTGGTTTCCCTTCTATTTTTGTGAGCTACTCCCTTTATTTTATTCATTTTTTATTTCTCTCTACTTTCTACATATGAGAAAAAACATTTGACCCTTCCATGTAATCATTTTTTAAATGTAAGGTTTAGTGAAGTTAGTTATATTCAAACCTTTTTCCGTCTGTGGAACTTTGTTACCTTCCTAACCAAAGCTCTGTACACATTTAACACTAACTCCCATTCCCTCATTCCCCCCTTTAATTTTTTAAAATTCAAACTTAGTTATTTGTTTAATTAAAATTTCAGAATATGAGTTCTTAAAGCCTTCCTTTCTCAACATGTGTAAGCATATGCTACTGAAAGAGACTGAGAAATTTACTTTTGGAAATGCAACTATTTACCAAATAAAGTAGATTTAGAAGGATAGAATACAATTCATCAATGTATTCCTGTCTTCCTACTGTGGCTAACAACTGATATCCAGTCTTTGAGAATAACAAAAACTTAAGATATATACGCTGGGCAGTAAAGTTATATTGTCATGCTATATACAACATTAAATATTTTTGTTCAGCCATTTTTAAAAAATGGTGTCTTTACTGAAC